AGCTCCGGGGCTCCCACCAACCATCGAGCCCAACAAAGGGGCACATTGCTCGGATAGCTGGAGCTGTGCTAGGGCTACCCCGGAATTATACTATTTATTCAACCTAGACACACAGAAGTACCCCCCCTAAAAGTAATAAAATTATATTTTAAAAAACAAACAGCTTTCCTACACGGATCGAAATTGTCAACTCATCTTATTTCTTCTCCGCAATTGTGTCCAAGTGATTATCTTTGCTGAGACTCAGACAGAGCCCATACAACCGGCATCCGCACTATAATGGTTAGATAACTAGGCACTTCGCCACTGCACACAGAAGACTCGAGTTTGATTCCTGTGCAGGGATGTTTATCATTTTGTTGAGTATTTCCGTCTGTTTGTGGATGGAATGTCACTCAGCTTCGATTGGCCAAGAGAGGAAGAGCCGTGTCGTGTTACAGCCCCCTATTGAAAAAACTTACTTGTGCTAACGGGGGCACAATTTTTCAATCTTTGCGAACAATAAAAAATTCCATAGAGATGTCCTTTCACTGTCACAAGAGTAGTACCTCCTCCTGATGCACACAGAGTATACTAGCCACCCTTCCAACCAACACTGGAAGGAACCATACTTTGAAAATAAATTAAAATACAAAATACACACAAAGGAAAATTATATATCAACTTTTTAATGTCAACTTCGTCTCCTATATCATCAGCTTTCAATGAATGTTAAAAATATCAAATTCTTTCAAGCCTCGTGCTAACCAGATGAGACAGACATAATACAGTTACTCTTTAATGATTAATGCAGACTAAAGGATGATATTTTTAATTCATCCGCCGAAAGGGAAATTGCTTGATTTGATGACAGACTTCTTCATGGCACTGGAGCACTTGGAACATTACGCATACAAACTGCAAACATTATTTATATGTACTGATGATGTCTAGCGCAGACAGACCATATTGGAGATTACGTCTTTTATCAAGAAACAAAACGCAGATGGATCGCTACCTATGAGCGCAGAAAGGTACTGAAAACAGAAGCCTTCCAATTCAATTAATTAAGAGAACTATGTACCGTAGTACACAGAATCAAGTGATTTTTTTTCAAATTCTTTAAATAAGGAGGTGTTGATCATTAACATTAAACACAAAAAGGATCCTTAAATCATTTGGTCAGTACGCAATAATGGATAAAAAAACTTATAAAGTCAACCCTGTTCACTTCTTAGTCTCATTAAAAATACAAAAACCTCTTTGGGGGCTCTCGTTGCCTAGAGGTTAAGGTGTTCGCCTCTCATTCAAAGGTACTGGGTTCGAATCCCGACCAAAAAAATTTTATTCTCCAAAATTGTCTCCTTTCACCTCCTTTCCTGCTCTCTAGCAATGTTCTGTCGTCCGCTCTTGTCTCCACTTACTTCCCCACCCCCTCACCGCCTATGCTCCCTCCTCTGGGCTCCTGACTCTTTCTGCAGCCTCTCAACTGCTACTCCTTGACTCCTTCTTACTGCTGCCTTTCAGCCACACCCCTGATCTTCTGGCAGGAAAGATCTATACCTAGCCTTCTTGGACAAGGGCGAAAAATCTCGGAGGCCCTGTGTGCAAGTTGCGCACGTTAAAGATCCCTTGGCGGTCTAAAATCAATAAGAGTAGGTTTCAGCTGCCACCCGAGCAAAATTCAAAAATTTTCTACCAACTTAAAAATGTTTAATGTGTCCAGTGTGCTCATATGACAATATGACCTTATTATGCAATTGCAAGCGCCGTAAAACTTACAACCCCCCCCCCCCTCTTTTTTAAACATTTAACACAAATAAAGGTAAAACAACCCTAAAAGTGACCATAGTAATATGACCATCTCCACAGAGTACTATCAAAACACACATGCAAGTTTACAGGTAGATCCTCTTGGGTACATGAAGAGAACTGTACAGCAAGTCACTCACTCTCTAACAAAAACAATTAGTAGCACTATATCTATGGCATCATGTAAAAACAAGCTTGGGAAGGTGACTATAAAAGTACACACAACACAACTTTATATAGTGTTCAATAAATTTACATTGCATGAACAGGAAAGAACTGGGGCAAACTACCGTCACTAACACACTTAGTTTTCAGCAAGATTTGATTGGGGGGGGGGGGGGGGGGGGGGGTAAAAAGAGGTAAAAAAATGATCAACAGACTCCAACAAGAATTATAGTCAAGACAAGAGCTGCAAAGATAAAACAACAAACCCATCCTTAAAAACTCTCTCATTCAACTTCAGTAAAGGCTGTCTCTGCAGTAGAAATGCAATGTACAAATGAATGAATTTTGGACAGGAGAGAGAGAGTCTTCACACCATCTGAACTAACCTTGATACCAACCACTGGTTAGTAGGCTGTATTGTAAACATTTTTTCGTCAAACTGTTGAAAATAATAATTTACGAAACTTCCTTCAACTGAGCCAACACAGACCAGATTCTGTTGTAACATCTTAGTTTCACTGGTATGTGAAATGAGATCAATCTTCTATCTGGATCACCCAAAGCCAAAAAAGACAGTCACAATCATGGAGGTAAGACAAACTATGAGGCCAATAGCAGTTCTATAAAATACTACTACATATAGGTCAATGATGAATATTTGGAAAACGGATGATGGTTTTAAGTGCAAAAACTCACATTCTACAAACAATGAAATTAAAAAGCAAACTACATCATTCCAATGTACGGTAAACAATAATCTCAGAAGATAAATTTCATGTTTACACAAAAAATCAATCCTTGGGGAATATTTGAATATAATGTAATATAGGGAACAAATCAAAAGCCCCTTAAAAAATATCATGGTGGCAATGTCAAATTTTATTCTGTAAAAAACAGTTCTACTGAAGTTATTTTTCATCGTTTCAGAAGAAAACTTGAACATCACAAATGACTTGCAAATTAAAAACTAGTCTAATGCATGAGAATGCGATGTGACTTGTGTCCCCTTCCCCATCTACATCAACTACATGTCGGGGATTACATTGAGGTCAGCAGTGAGAGCTGAGGACGATTCTGGAGAGATTTTTATATATGAAAATTTAATAGAAACTGGTGGCTAGTATATCAACACACATATATTTCACTCAGAAGTAAAAAAGGGAAACACAGCAGAACCTGCCATGACGGCCACCTTTACACTTTACGAACGGCCACTTAATAATAGATAACATTTGTATGGCGCAAATCCCTGCTCAACAGCAAGCTCTATGCGCTTCACAATCTATACTTTTACCCCAGCAGACCTGAGAGCATTCTGAAACAACCTCAACTTCCTGGGAAGCATATAGTGCAAGCAGCCATTTATAGGCCCTAAAACACTTTACTAACATACTGACAAGATTTTTCGCTGTCTATGGCCAGGTACCCATTTCCAACTGGGTGAAGTGAGGAAAATTCGCGCAAAGTGCCTTTCCCATTGACACAACGTCGGGCCCGTGGCTCGAACCCCCAACATTTCCATTTCTTCCCTTGAGTTTTTTTCTCTTTCTTAATTTAACTGTGTAAAACGGTCACCTGTCCATAGCGGCCACATTAATTAATCAACCACTGCCAAATTTACCTGCCTCAGACAGCCAGGCCTGGTCTCGAATCGCTAGTGCATTTCATAAAATTTTGAATTGGCTCCTGGCGCTGTGAACGGGCCCTCGTAATCCATTCCCCTGTCGCTATTGTTGGTCCCTACAATGAATGTTTACCCAAGTTGACCAGACCAATGAGGAACAATAAAGGCATGTGATCCTTCATAACCTATATAAGCCCCCCACAACTCATACACAAATCGTATGTGTGAGGTGACTGGTCACTGTTTTGTTTGCCTAATCTGTAACAAAGTAACAATGGACATTAACTCTCCGAGTGGTGGTGACCCAGTGTTTGTTTTATCATGGCACTCGGTCTTCATCGTCTTACATTAGTTTCTATTTTACCCTTGCACAAAATCATCAACAAAAAGAGCTAACCAAAACACAAACCTACAACAACAAAAAACCTCACAATTCCACCCTTCCACCCCCCCTTTTTCAAAAAGAAAATAAAAACCCTTTTGAATACGCCTTACGGCAGTCCTAAGCCTGAGATCAGGTCAGATTTGGACCTCAGAAGGGAATGGTTTGCCTTTTTAATTTTGACCAGTCTGTGTAAGACTGCCACTTGTGTTAAACTGCCACTTTTATCCTTGACAATGGTTGGTCATTTTACACAGGTTCGACCGTACCTACAGTTAAAGTAAAAAAGACCACATCAGACATGCGTCCTCCAACCGCCCGCCTAATTACATGTCAGTAGAAGTGGGCGGTGAGAGGAACAAAAGTCAGCAGGATTAAGATGGATGGAGTAAAGCAAGAATACTGGAGTGGTGAAAAATTTCCAAAACAACCCAGTTTTGAGAAAAACCCTTTGGAACTTTAGAACCAGGGATGCATTATAGTCCAGTATGATATCAACTAAACTGACCCTAGGGATGGCCAAAATAGGTGCATGCAAATATAATGCATTATTGTACTGTCAACAGATTCAAATGAGTAGAAAGTATGAACTGCAGCTTGAAAATAATATAATAATCATCGTCTTGTTATCATTTAACCCTTTGAGCCCTAATATTCTGAGCCTATAGTACACCTATTAACCCCCCCCCCCCCCCTCAACACCCATGTCTTATAAGTCCAAAACTGTAGAAACCTTTCTGAACTATGATATAGGTTACTAAAAGTATTTTAAAAGAACTTTAAAAAATGACAATTATTTATTAAGGCCATCAAAAACCTTGGCGAATTTCTGGTAGGAAATTAAGTCATATTCATACATGTATGCAGAAGTCGGTTGCACTCTCGGTTGAAGACAGTGCAGTTGATTCTTGCAAACTGTCCATGGGATCTACCACGGGCGTGCAAAGAACAAGAACAGTACTTAATGATTTTAAGTACCACAAGCTTTAGTTTTCTAAATAAAAGGCTATTGTACAATTGTCTATGATTATCCTTTTCTTTTGTTTGTCAAACCCAAACTGACACCCCCCCCCCAAAGCATTTTTATATTTTTTAACAATCGCTTAGGGCAGGGCAGTGCACCATTAAAAAACTATACACTCAGAGATTCATATAAAAGACACACATACAAGAAACAGGAAAGAAATGAATAGAGGCTTTCTGGGATACAAATGTTTGACAATGAGCTTTACAGTTGCAAAGCAAAATACAGTGGAGTCCCAGCCAAAATCTGAAGTTCCACCTGATTTCCTAGTTTAGCCGTGTTTTCAGTTTAAAGCAAAGAACAAAATTAGGGATTCTGTTTTCTATTGGCTTACTGCTGTTTTCGGATTAATTGTGTACCGTTTAAGCGGACTCCACTGTATTCAGAAAGCTCTAAAGATATGAACATGATGACAATATTTACTGAAAAGGAATGAATGGGAACTTAAGATGGTTGCTATTTATGACAGGCAACTGTGGAACACAATTAAGAGAAAAGAAACCATCACTACGACTGTGAATAGTACATAACTCCAAATGAAGTGCTAGAAAACCAGACTGTGACTACCCACCACAGTAAATAATTGAAAATTCCTCTATACCACACTGGTGTGAAAATACCACGCATCTCTCCTAAAGTACTTGTAAATTCAGAGGCAGACTGAATAATAGAACCCATAGTACTGTTCTCCCCTCCCAGGTTGGGGAGGCTCATTCCCTTCTTTGGAGTGACACTGAAGAATTGCACAGCAGTCTCTCCAAACAGAGAAACCCACGAGAAGTCACCAAGGGTTTTCAGGAGGAAAGTGAGAAAGAGCACAAGGATGACCGGAGCTATGTACTGAATCGCCACGACACATAGATAATAGAAGACGCGGGCAACTGTTTTCTGTAGTTCTACATTGCCGATACGTCCGCTTTCCTTCTTCATATTCTCAACTTTCTCATGAGCAAGATTGAGATGTGACTGTAAAAATAATGGCATCAGTACCAGCCGTAGAGCGCAAGTGACCAGAATGATGATAAAACGTAGGCCCTCAAACTGATCCTCGTAGATTACGGCACGTGCATAGGTGAAGTGTTTGCCACAGAGTAGATCCCGGCCTATGGGTTTCACCCACAGCAAAGCCACGACCAAAGGCAGGATGTAATTGATCTGGAGCAACAACTGGAGAAGCCCCCGTCCCTGCGTATACTTAAGTGTGTCCAAATGGAGTTTAGCCATTCTTAGGCCTGGAAATGTTAGTAATCCCCCAATCACCATTCCAAGAAAAGCAAGCACAGCTTTATAGGTCATAAAAGACATGGGTCCATGTGAGGTTACTCCTTGCTTTTCCAAGAAAACCAATGCATTTCCTGAGAAGTTATCATAAGCTTCTTCTAATCCAAACTCGATGATATTCTCACCCACAACTAGAACACCCATCGCAAACACCAGGTAAAAGAAGGTGAAGGTCACAAGCAACACCCGCTCGCCGCCTTCCTGGGTTCTCATGTAAATCCATGCCTGGCTTGCGAGAAGACGCAGGCAAAAGGCAATGGCCAGCAGACACCACAATACGCTGAGGTTCAACTCAATGCGGTGCGGAGAAACCACATAGTAGATTTCTGTCAACACGTAGATGATGAGAGCACACAGGGAAAAATCCATGAGCCAGGTGTACTCTGAGTAGTACTGTAGCGGCACTAGGTCAATGTCCTCAACCTGTCAAGATAAATTTTGGTTTTTAGTAACAGTTTAACAGCACTTGCATTACTTGCAACACGCTTAGGTCATAAGTGCAAAAAATTAGAGGTAAACACAAGAGAGTAATAAACAAAAAAGGGGGAGAGATAAGGACAATAGGTGTTTGGCAGGAAAGAAGAAGCAAACAACTTTGTTTTGTACTGACTGCTACCCACTGCTACTATATCTTTAAAAAGAGCTCTTGGGAGCCATGACCTGAGTGTGGCCCGGCCTCCTTAGTGTCAGGTACTTAGGACGAAACACTTGCTTGAAGGTGGTTCTACCTCTGAAGATCTCCTGCCGTCCGCTCACCCCACGAGTTTTCTCCCACATTAAAAGAGTAAAAGCCCATTGCATCAAATTTTATTTCATGGGTGGCATAAGCGACCTCCCAAAACTCAGAAATAACAATTATCAATGACAGAGCCATTTGAATACAATGTTATTATCATTATGACAGGTATCAGTATACGGTCGAACCTGCCTTAACGGAAACCTGTGTAAAAAAACGGAATCTCCCCGCTCCCCCCTTGATATATTCCTCTTTCATTACCTGTATAAAACGGAAACCTGTCAAACGCGAAAACGGAAAGAAAAATCCGCTCCCTTCCGAGGGTTTCACCTGTCTAACACGGAAAATGCTTTGCCCGCTCAGCCCTGATTTGAAACAAAACTCGCAAGTTTGATTCCGCCGGCTCTAAACTTAACGCCATGGCTATGCCGCTGGGCGAGGAAGGGGAGTAGGGGTGCAATGGAGATAGAGTAGAAGTTTCCCTATGTTACCCCTTCATGTGAGCACTGAGCGCTACAGATGGCCAGTGTAGTGTGGGTGTGATATCTCACGACTGCCCGTGAGAGTGCTCGAGTAGCCAGCCACTACGGAAACTTTCCTGGGTAGCCAGAAGCCAGAGGTGTGAAATTAGATTTACCAATGCCTGCTGCCCTGATCGTACTGCCTGCTGAGAAAAGAGTTCCTCGAATCGTTGTTACAATGATGACAGTGAGGGGTAGCGTTGGTGGGTGGGACTAAGGGTGGAAGCAAAGGAGGTGTTCAAACGTTTCTGTTTTAATAGGTCAAACAGTGGTCCTATGAAAGGCAAGCACTGGTGGTAATTGGATAAGTAAGACTGACGCATGTCACTATCAGACAGGATAGCAGCTGAGAGGTGTGAAGTTTTGACCACTGCTTGCCGATCGGACAAGCGATCCTTGATCTCACTGGCTGGGCCTTTGAACCCCCCCACCCCTATCCCCCCCTCCCTAAATTCCCCTGTCTAAGACGGAATTTTTCCCCCCCTCCCTTGCGATTCCGTCTTACACAGGTTCGACTGTATGTTGCAAGCTATATCATTTTATATTTATTCCAAGGATGACTTTCCCTTATCTCATCACTTTTTTGGGATAAAAATATGAAAATGTAAAAGCACGAAGGACACTATTTTATTCTCCTCATATGAAACTTCACATTCATCAACATTTACTTGATTCTTGGGTTCATGGGCACAGATAGAGTGAACAACTTTTAGTTTTAGTAGAGATTTTATGGCGCTCGCAACTGCATAAGGTCATATGAGTGCCAGAAGATTAGAGGTGTTACAAGAGAGTAACAAACATAAAAAAGAAGGAGGGGGAGATAAGGACGATAGATGTTTGAGGAAAGAAGGAGCAAACCACACCAGAGCACCCACCAACCACCCACAGAGTGAACAACAATCTGCCAGGTAAAGAAAACAATTATTCACACGGAAAATAACTTTGTTTCTCAGTAGTTACCACAAACAAATTTAGACACACAATTTTTCGTTCGTCTATTTTCTTTTCTCTCTCAAGCATGATATCAGATTTCTCAGTTTTAATAGATCATAATATAGTGAAATGAAGACAAATGCAGACCTACAGATCCTTTAACAACTAAAAATCAAATAGGAAAGCTTTCGAGGTATTGTATTCTATTTCTTTCTTTATTCATTTGAAACCTAGACCAAAAAAAAAAAAGAGCCCATAAAAGTATTTTCTTAAAAAAAACAACAGTTATATAAACATCGTAATTGTTAGGCCTAATTATCCAACCCCAAAAGACAACGAGTAATTTTCCTGCATTTAAAACATACCGGTGCTTGATCTAGCTGAAGAGGGATGTTCCTTCGTACTGTGAACGTTTCTGATTTGTCGCCACCGGCAGCATATTTTTTGTGTTCACCTCTACGACGAACTTTGCTGTTTGGTTGACTCGAGGCTTTCCCTGTGGGGTTTCCAGAGTCAAGCTGTTTCAGCTCTTCGTTTGTAGGGTGAAGAAACCTTAGGAGTCTCCCACATAACATCCAGCGCCCGATGGAGTAATATGGCGCCAGTTTGTGCAAAAAGGTGAACGTCACGAGACTGAACACTACCTGTGCACCGAGCACTGCCATTATCAGTTGGTTAACTGTGTTTCACTATCCTTCCTGTGGAAACAAAGCCAAAAGTTATTGAATATTATAGACAGAAAACGAGTTGCGTATGATACAGAGCGATTAATTCTATCATAGACTGATTCCTTACTTTAACATTTTGATGATGTTTTAACCCAACCCTAAACCAGCTTCCTTTTGACCTCAGACCAAGTAAAACTTTCCGCAGATTTTCACAGACCCATAAAGAGTATATTTATTAAATACACACATGCACTTGTATATATATGTATATATATCTGTCTCCCCCCGGTCAATATCAGTCTTAAGACGCAGTGTCCTGTTATCAGCTACGAGGCTCGAAAGGCAAAAAAGTCACTATCCATGAAATTTTTTGTTTTTTCGGATCTATTGAAAATTTGATGTCTTCTGCTCCATTTAAGACAAAAATTAACAACTATAATCGACTATAAATATTTTATTTTGATTTATTTTGGAGGTGTGTGTGTAGTTTGTTTTGAGCTTGGATGACGAGATAAAGGAATTTGGACCTTGCTAGTATGTAGGTGTGAGATTATTTTTGGAAACATTACCTCATGGCCACCTTTGTTTCAACCAAAGATTCTCCACTACTGAAGAATCTTTCCTCCAACGTTCTTCATTCGAAACAATTTTTAGATTTTGACCCCTTTTTGAGCATGGATGGTCTGAAATGTAAACAACTCTGATTGGTAAAACAGAGTAAAAACGGTAACTTCTTGCTCACTTCAAGCTTGTTAATGTAAACTAAACAGCTGATTGTGTGGGCGTGCCTGATGGCTGCTTTTGTCTGTTGATCTTTCAGTTTTACACTTGGACTGACTTTAAAAATTCATTTTGATTGTGTTTTAGAGCTTTTAAAAGATTAATTAACCTTCCTCTACATCTCTCAGAGCGGACTTCTTACCAAGAGACCACCGAGGCGGTCTATGTGCATGTGTGCGTGTATGTGTGCGCGTGCGCATATGTGTGTGTGCGTGTGTGTGTCTGTGTTATATTTTACCTTTACAATTTACTCAATTTAAATTTTCATAAAAAATCTACACACACATATATATAAATCGGATTAGTATCCTCTTCTGCTGACTTTGATCCACATCATTGTTAAAATGACTTTTCAATGTGTTTCACATACAAGTAATTCCTTTACTGAGAGTGGTGTAACAACTTGGCTTTCAACTCGCACAGAATGAAGGAGGGAGAAAGAAAGTGGTACAATAGAGAGAGTGATCATTGTAACAAAGCACATAGGGGCTATAAAGTTACTGGGCTTTCCATCTGTGCATCCATCACACATGTTGGGTGTATTGCTACTTATCAAAAGTTACAGAGCATTAAATAATAAATTACTTTTACTTAGAATGTATACGATTATTACATATGGTCAATATTTCCAGTTATAAAAAGTAAAAAGTGCAGCATCAGGGTATGTTTTACCTCTACTGCTCTGCTGTTGGTATGCTTCAAAATTATGATATAGCCTTACAGTTACAGTAAGCCGATATTGTCTCCACTCCTTTCACCTCCTGTCCCCCTCTCTAGCAATGTTCTGTCGTCTACTTTCGTCTCCTCTTTCTGCCCCCACCCGCTCACCTCCTTTGCCCCCTCCTCTGGGCTCCTGACTCTTTCTGCAGCCTTTCTACTGCTGCCCCTTGGCTCCTTCTTACTGCTGTCTTTCACCCAGCCACACCCCCGATCTTCTGGTAGGAAAGATTTACACCTAGCCTTCTTGGACAAGGGCAAAAAATCTCGGAGGCCTTGTGTGCAAGTTGTGCATGTTAAAGATCCCTTCGTAGTCTAAAATCGATAAGAGTAGGCTTCGGCCGCCACCCGGGCAAAATTCTAAATTTCCTAGATCTATTCTAGCATCTAGATCTAGATGTATACCAACTGAAAAAAGTTTAATGTGTTTCGCGCGCTTACAGATCTATGACCTTATACAGTGGAATCCTGTTATAACGAGAGGGAGGGGACCGGTGCGAAATGTCCGTTATAGCAGGATTCTCGTTATAATGGATCCAGTAATAAATTCAATGGAAATAGTAAAGTAGGCCTAATCTATGAGTTTGGTGTTCTGTTTATTCCTTTTTGTATTTCCCCTGATGACATTTTTGTTCAACATGATCTCTAGGTCTTACTTGATCAAAAATCGAATCAGGTTTGTTTTTGTTTTCTCTATCACTAGAGAAATGTTGACAGTTCTGCATTGGCGATCCGAAAGAAGGCGCTCTGGCTTTAGGTTAACTCACCCGCTGTGTTGTCCCCCACCCCATCACACCCTGTGGTACGTTGCATCTGCTTGCGCACGTCACACATTCACTCCATCTATCACAGCATTGTGACCTCTCCATTCCGCACCAGAGAAGTGAGAGGCACGGTGTATGCCTAGATAATCTAGATTGGGCTGGCCTATCACGCGATGCGTTTTCTGCTTGTCTGCGCATGCCACACCCTCCCAACTCATTCACTCTGGCCTTCATTGTTGGTTCACGTGGGCTCTCCCATTCTGTTTCGCTGGATCACCAACAACTTTCTCAACTGGCGAGGTTTTAAATAATATATGTGACAACATGTGTATTTGGTCTGTGTGCTGTGCACAGCAGCAGCAATATTCCGTTATAACCAACCCGCATGACTGTCTGATTGCGCAATAGCAGTATTTTATTTACAAAGATAAAGAAGGGAAAAAAACGGGGTTTTAGAATAGTGTCTTTATAACAGACTTCTCGTTATTTCAGGACTCGTTATAAGTGGACTCCACTGTAATGAAGTTGCGAGCGCCGCAAAACACTTTTACCAAAAAGAAAACAAACGAAGTGACTATTTCTCCGAACGTTCTGTAAAATAAACTTGAACTCTATTCCTCCGAACGGTTTCCGTTCTCGAGATTTTTTGGTTATATGCGAGATTTAGGCCTAGGCGTCATCTTTCATTCTGCGAGGAGTGGGAGGAGGCATTTTTTGCATCGAATTCAATTTCTAGAGCTAGAAATTTTTAAATATGTGAATATTCAGATACTTCAGTTGTGGTTGGGGCAACGTTCCCGGACTATACTTAATTTGAAAATGCCTTCAAAAGGTACAGCGAGAAAACAAGACTGATCGACCTTGGCAGTAACCTATTTTGCATTTAGTCACCCATAAAGTAAAAACTAAAATTCTTCATGTAAACAAAAAAAAAATCTCTCCACGCCCCCCCCACCCGGTTCACACCTTACACACACACACTCACTCACACCCACGCAGACTCACTGTCACACTAAGGCTGGGTCGCGAGCGCGAGAACGGAACTGAATCGCAACTCTTGCCTGCGGAACGCGATTCACGATTCACTTCAGCGGAACACGGAACAGTATCGCCAAACGATTCTCGATTCACTCCCCTGTCGCTGTCACCATCTTGTGGCTTGTTTAACCTACTGCTGAGTCGAGTCACGAGCGCGAGAAAGGAACGGAACACTTAGCACGGCTCCCCTTATTTTACAAAAGATGGTATAGTCCAACCCTTCTATTAAAACAAAATGAACTGGGTCCAACCAATAGACAGAAGGAATTTTATGGAGCCATTGTTTTAGCGAATCATGGGGTTGGGGGGGCTGAATTTACGGGGGTCACTAATTGAAGTCAGTTGATAGAGCAGCGCAACAAAGGGTGTGGGGCAGAGAGGATGGCGGAACAACAAGATTGGGACTCGCGGTCGCCAAGTGGCGTTGATATGACACTGTTCTGTTTCAGTCAGTGTTCCACCACAGTTCCACGAGTGCTTGCGTACTCGCGATTCTTTGATGAAGCCGACTGAATCGCGAATCGCCACTCTCAAATTTCACGATCCAGCACTATCTCACACACACTCACTCACACAAACACATGCAAACTCACACACAGGCCACTCCATTCGCAATTATTATTAAAAAATTACAAGTTTGGAGAATGTAAATCGTTCGGAGAAATAGAGTTCAAGTTTATTTTCCCAAAACGTTCGGAGAAATAGAGCCGGCCCCCAAAAAAGACCTGTAGATCTAGATCTAGATCTAGACTGTAGATCTCTATGCAAAGGCAAAGATCTGAGAAGATTCAATAGAGAAAAAACCCCCAACAAAACAAAGCAAACGGAAATAAGTAACGTTGTTTAGAAAAGAAGCTGTAGAGAGATCTCTAGATCTAGATTTTAGATGATGTACTGTCGGGAGGACTTCCGTAACGAGCGACCATTATGAGACAGAGCAGAATTGAGGGCTAGGACTAGGGGTAGGGGTAGACCTAGGCGGTGCTTTTTCGGTAGTTCCCACCCCCCTTGCCTTATTTGAGCTTAGATCCAGATCTACATCGAGATCGATATGTTTGATCCGCGGCGAGCTAAGACATCAAATTATGGTAAAATTCAGGGGGGCATGCCCCCCCTGAAACCCCTCACCCCCCCCCCCACCTTATTCTTGTTAGGCGAATAACAATTGCGGGGTGGGAACTACCGAAAAAGCACCCATCTAGGCTAGGTGTAATGTAAGGTTAGGGTTAGGGTTAGGCCTCTTCTTTAGGGAGTGTATACAGACCCGGTAACCGGGAACAAAGTCACAAAGTATACAGACCCGGTAGGGGAACTCTTTTGTGATTTCGGAAAGTTCCAGCGCCCTCTTGGCTCAGGGTAAAACTTGGTTCTTCTAGATCTATGGCCTAGGTCTAGATCTAGACCGACAGATATAAATCATTGATCTAGTTTCGAGGCTAGCCTATATCTAGATCTAGATCTAGAATCTAGAGACCTAGATCTAGATCTTGATCTGGTATTTTTTTACTTTCCCTCCCGTCTCACACTCAGCTACCAGTTGTCTATTTTCTACTAAATGTCTAAATATTGATGCGCTGAACACGAATATCAACTTCATTTCCGTCGCAAATTAATGGTTTTTGAAATATTTGATTGTTTTTAACCGAGATAGACATGCTTTGGACCAATCGGGGGGTTCCAGGGGGGCCTGCCCCACTGGGGTAAAAGAAAATCTGGGGGGTTACAGGGGGGCATGCCCCCCTGTTTTTACACCCATAATTTGATATTTTACAGTTAGATTTGAAATAAAATTGTCTTGAAAATAATTGATTTGCGACAGTTTTAGTGGCTTTATGTGTGATCTGCAGCAAACAGTACAGCACAGCAGTTTGACCCCTGAAACAGTGCATCTGTGTGCGGGAGTGAAAGTAAAAATTTACCCTTGATCTAAATGCAGATTGCGGATGTCTTTTCGATGAACGATCGTTTTTCCCCCGTTTTGGAGTTGGAGAAATCACAATTTGAAGAAAAGACCAAAGTCATTTAATTTAAATCGAGCAGTCACCCCCCCCCCCTCTCTCTCTCCTTCCTCTGTCTCTGTTTATCGCTCGCATTCTCTTTTTCTTTGTTTGTCTCTGTCTTTCTTTCTCCCCTCGTATTTCCCACTCTATCTTTCTCTCGTTCCCTCCTGCCAACTGTGTCATACATTTTGCTAGCACTTCCCTCTGCTCTCTCCTCTCTCTCTCTCACTAACTCACTCACACACACACACTACCGGGTCTGGGCGCTGAAACTTTCCAAAATCGCAAAAGAGTTCCCCTACCGGACCTGTATACTTCGTGACTTTGTTCCCGGTTACCGGGTCTGTATACACTTCGTTTTATTTATTGTGTTTGATGGGGTGGTCGCTCGTTACAGAACTATACAAAACAAAAACACAGATAGAGATCTAGATCTAGATCTAGACCTAGAAGCTAGATTCTAGATCTAATATCTAGAATCTAGATCTAGAGACTCTAGAGTACTAGAGGCCTATCTAGAAGAAAGAATAGTCAAATTACCTTCAACTTCAATCAGCCTAACTAACAGTGTAGTAGTGTAGAGTCTGTATTACTGTCAGTAAGTCAGCATGAGAACGTAATATTTTTCACTCTAGATCTAGCCTACTAGATCTAAATCTAGATCTAGGCCTACAGTAGACTACAGACTAGATTTCTTCCGATTTCTACACCATTCCTTACACATTCGACAGCTTCGGCTACAAACAGTTGGGAAGGTCGAAAGAGCACACCGCACTACCGCACGCTTTCCCCAGCGTTCAGCAGAGGCTATCATTGCATCTTTTTTCAGTCTCTCTAGGGCAAGAGGCGAGGATCTATTTTGAGTTTTTAGAGCACCGGGCATCGCAAGCAAAAGGTTTAGGTGGGCAAAGATAGTACAAGACAAGATGGGCCACTCAGCCGAAAAAGCGTCCGCAGGAAGTATGCTCTTTGCTTCAGATGGCGCTGCAGTCTGTTTTGAAGCTCTCTTTCGTTTTTCCAGAAGAAGAATAGGAATAGCACCTCCTTGCGTGCGCAGATCGACTGCTGTTCATCAGCAGTTCGGGTACGTTCAGTGCGGAGTTTTAGTTTTTTTTATATTTTAATGACCTCTCGCCCTTCATTCTAAAGTCAAATTAAACGAAGAATACTATCTCCTTTTCCTCAGGAAGAGGTTTTTTGTCAGCGTAACCATTTTTAAAAAGCGTTCTTCCGAAATTTATCGCAAAACTTGCTAGTTTCACTTTGATTTTTAAAAACTCAAGTAGGGTAACTCTGTTCGCAAAGAGTGCGCTTTTGTGAAGAGGGCGCCACCAAATTTTGAGGACACTTTTTTAATTGGCTCAAAGAGAGAAGTGGCCCATCTTGTCTTGTACTATCTTTGAGGTGGGTAGGTAGGCCTAGGCCTAGTCGAGTACAATATTTTTGCTATAGCCAAAGATAGTACAAGACAAGATGGGCCACTTCTCTCTTTGAGCCAATTAAAAAAGTGTCCTCAAAATTTGGTGGCGCCCTCTTCACAAAAGCGCACTCTTTGCGAACAGAGTTACCCTACTTGAGTTTTTAAAAATCAAAGTGAAACTAGCAAGTTTTGCGATAAATTTCGGAAGAACGCTTTTTAAAAATGGTTACGCTGACAAAAAACCTCTTCCTGAGGAAAAGGAGATAGTATTCTTCGTTTAATTTGACTTTAGAATGAAGGGCGAGAGGTCATTAAAATGTTTAAAAACCTAAAACTCCGCACTGAACGTACCCGAACTGCTGATGAACAGCAGTCGATCTGCGCACGCAAGGAGGTGCTATTCCTATTCTTCTTCTGGAAAAACGAAAGAGAGCTTCAAAACAGACTGCAGCGCCATCTGAAGCAAAGAGCATACTTCCTGCGGACACTTTTTAGGCTGAGTGGCCCATCTTGTCTTGTACTATCTTTGCTATAGCCCAGCCTTGATCTAAACATGTGTGGGTATCGCAATGGACACCAAGAATATTCGCTCTTGAAATCGAATACTCTGTACTTGGCTATACAAAGTACAAAACAAAGATTGAAAGAACTCTGCCTGGGCGACACAAAGTAGATCCATTTCTTCACCAAATTTGAAATAGAAAATTTAACCACATTCTGAACTCTAAATGTACACTGCAGCTCAATCCCTAGCCCATTTCGTTCCTGTAAAGTTATAATTTGTTTTATTTCTCATGAGTCTGTAATGCTAAAAAAAACGCAAAAAATTCCATAATGTTACACATTATACCATGTCTTTTTGGACTGTACAAATATAATTTACGAATGGAAACTCAAACATAATTAACTAAAAGGGTGGACCATCTTAGGTTCTTTCTGTTTTATTCCTATTATCATTTGTTTTTATTTGACTCTTAGTTTTTCTGAAAAAGAAATAAGATAAGAGCTGGAACTTCGCACTTCCTTTCGATTAAGCTCAATTTTATTAGTGAATGGTTTGAAGAAGGTCAAGGTGTATTTCCGGGACTTGCCTAGCTGGTGATAGTGCTCACCTTGTTGGTGTGTAGTGTGTTACGGTCTTACTGTCCTGTGGCTCACGATAGGGAAGCGAGGATGGATCCCTGCTGCTCACGCTAGACTCTCAGAGTAGGCCCTACATTAGTTTCAGGCAAGTTGAACAGACCCCAATTTTTGTTTAATTGCACAGACAAGAAAGTTGGAAGGACAACACTGAATTCATTACAGAAATGTGTTAATCTAACATCATAACAGTAACAGAGAGAACAGGTCTAGATATCTAGAATCTACCTCTTATAGTACAGGCTATACTCACTGAGTCGAGTCTGTTATGTTACGGTCCCGTCGCTAGGTACAGTTAACTACTCTGCCTATCTGGCGTTTGATGTCAATTTCAGTCATCATTGTTGAAAGAAATTCACTAAACATGTCAATGCTGCTGCTTCGGCGTATCCAGTTTGGTTTTTTTTTCTCACATTCATTTGTGTTACTTGTACTGCTAGACTGCTAGTCTAGAAGGCCTTGAACTTGAAGTTGAGTGTAGATCTAGATCTAGTCTACCATTCAACAAGTTACAAAATGGGACTGACATACATGAGTCATGAGTATACAATTTGTAGGCCTCCACATGAGTAACTTTGATGCTGCAGTAGCCTCACCTCAGTTGTTGTTTAGGTTAGATCTAGGCCTAATTGATGATTAGGATAGATCTTAGTGATTGCAGTGTGAGTCTACAATGTTGATCTTCTATCACATGGAGGAGTTGGGCCACACCCTCCCTAAGCTATAATAGTTTTTTTTTTTACAGAGGAGGACCTGTTTCCCCATTCAGGTAGAGGCATCAATAATTCAATTTGCTCTCATTGAAGTCATTGCCTCACCTAACCTTGCTCTCATGGAGCTGGTTGGAGAGTCTATCAACTGTTTTCTTATCTTTATTATCTATTTGTGGTGGCCGAATTTTGCTATTCAAAAGGCTTTAATGGCTGCATCGATCGACATGCGGTTTTCGCCAAAAGATTCTTTATTTAAAATATTCTCCAGATCATGACGCCCTTTGTTTTTCCAGTTTTGAGACAGTTTTGTTGCAAAAAGCTAAATTTCTTTATTTCGCCGATCGCTTTTGTAGGCCGACGCTTCTGTCTCTGTAATTTGAGAAAATCCGGTGCGGAAGTGATATTTCGCGAGACGCATTTTGTTTTGAGAGTATAGATCTAGATCTAGATCTAGACCTTCTAATTTTTTGCATCTCTCAAGATTTATTGCTCCTTTCCAGTATTTAGTGTAAATATAATAGGCCAATGACTTTCAGTTGATGTTAATGCACCATTCATTCCTTTCATCGAAAGGGGGCCCAACTAGTATTATATATATATATGATGAATGTTAAGTTTAAATTATAGAGGTCTAGATATCTAGATCTAGTGCAGGGCTCCCCTTTTCAGGCCACTGGACTAAGACTAGAGGTTCCTTCACCCTTTGGTTTACTATTTTAAGGGGTATTTTATTTAAACCCTTGTTTTAGAAAGATAAAAGTCAATATCTCATAATTTTATAGTAAGGTTTTTTTGCTTGCAAACATTTAACTCAGATGCACATTCACACAGACACACATAGAGTGACCATGACTATGATTGAATGCTAACGATTTTAATTAACTAAGAAATAAATGAGTATTATTGACTATAATTAGAGTTGTGTCCATTTGGAGGGGGAAGAGTGGTGGTGGTTGAGCAGTTTGGTCTATCAAACATAAAATAAAGTTGACGAACCAAAAGGGGTCAACTCCGACTATAATATTCCTAGAAAAATAGACCTGCCAGTCTATGAAATCTAAAAGTCAGGATCTCTGTGGGGAAAAACATTGGGACTTGGTGAAAAAAATCGGGATCAACGACAAATCACCTAGGTCACTGCCAAGGTGACTTTAAAAAATTCCAGGCGTGACCATTATTATATCCATGTATATTTCCTCTGCGCTTGTGCTTATGTGTGGTGTATGTGTGCGTGAGCGCGCGCGTGTGGTTTTTTTTTTTTTTAAATTCTGAAATATCATGTCAAGGTCTCCCCTTGGATAAGTCCCGAAAGACGCTTCAAACAGTGTGCATGAACTTAAATTGACCCTGTCGTTGAACGACGGTCCCCGACACACGGGGAACTCACACGCCGAAGTCATGTCACGTGGTGCGAACGCGCGATTGAAACAGTTTTACTGATGGGTCTTGATGACGGGCCCGACTGACTAAAACTCGGACATAGCATGTTTTGATGAAGGTAGATCTTGAGAATGTCTGAAGTCGGAATGGCAAATCAATACTACTTCCAATCCATTATAGTTGAAATAACTTGTGTGAGCAAAGACATTTTGGAAAATAGTGCTCTGAGTTTCTGCTTACAAAAAGTTTTACGAGTGCTTCCCACGACAGTAAAGAAGGCAAGAGTAAGATTTTAGAAAAATCCGGCGCAACAGGCGGAACAAAAAATTAAACGAAAAAAATCAGGGTATACGCGATCAAAATCGGGAAAATCGGGATGCTTGAGATTTAGGGCAGGGATGAGTGGCAAGTTTGGAAAATAAACTGATTCATTATTCTTCAGAGCCACCCCAGGGTTCATATTCCAGTCTTTCCACACTTTCGATGACGGACAATTCATGTTTACTAGTGTGTTAAAGAAGGATGGGGGTAATCTCATGGCAGGGGTAAACCAGGTAAACTCAAGGCGCGACACCTGCAAATGTGAGCGACCAGAATGTGGGTGGAGCTTCTGTGCTGAAGCAAGCCTGTTTTTCCGGAAACTGCACGAAGTTGATAAGTAGGTCGACTAGTCGACTTCTTCTAACACAGAACGTGACCGTCGTGCATGTGTGTGTGGGTGTGTTGTGAAATCATTGACTCAGCTTTGGGATAGAGAAGGGGGAAAATGATGCTTGCCAGACGCCCACCACCTACGTTTTAAAGCGTATGCAAACCCCCGAAATGAAATTATAAAGAGTAAAGCTCACGCACAACCAAAACTTAAAGGGAGTAATCAGCAGGTTTAATCCGTAATATACGCACATTTGTTCGTAAAGGGGAGCCCTGAAGTGGTAGTTCTTCTTGGCCCAGGCTTTCCGTATTTACAAATATATAAAGGGATTTATACCATGTGCTCACTGTCGACAAGATTCATTTTGATTGTGATTGCTTCTGGGCGAGCCAGATGTTCTTGTCATGGTAGTGGTAGGCGCCAGTCTTAGTATACAGTGACTTGTTTTAAGAATGGTTCCCTTAGTAAGTTCTTAGATATATATTTTACTTAGAATATTTACCTTTTATCAAAACTTAAACACAGCTTAGAACTAGAAGTTTTTGATAGCAAAATACTACCCACATAATGATTATGAACATGGTTATCTTATTAAATTTCACTCAGGCAGAAGTGGGTTGTCAAAGTGTAAAGGTACTAAAAGTTAAAGTTGTTCCCGCATCTGATCGGGACATTGGGGATTGCCTTGTTAGTGAGACAAATTCCTGGGCCTTCTGCATTATAACTTTCCGAACTCGAAGTCAAGTAGCCTACCCATTACTGCTGGGTGGGCAGGAGAGGGCAAAAAAAATCCGTGTCCGAACCAAGGCTTGAACCCGGACTTTCCGCTTTGAAGAAGAGCGCACTAACCGCTCTGCCACCACACCCTCAAATAAAATTGTTCCTGCATCCGATCCGGACATTAGGGATTGCCTTCTTAGTAAGACAACTTTCTGGGCCTTCGGCATATTGTATGGGGTGGCCAGTTCCTTTCCACGCCACATTTACTTCCCCAACTCAAAGTCAGGTACCCATTACTGCTTGGTGGGCAGGAGGGGGCAAAAAAAAATCAGTGTCTGAACCGAGGCTCGAACCCGAACTTTCCACTTCGGAGACGAGTGCATTAACTGCTCCGCCACCTAACCCTCGCAAAAGTACTACTGGCTTGAAATTGAAGAAAATAAGAGCTGTTTTTTTTTTTTACGGGCCAGAAGCACTCCAATCACTTTTCTATCCCACCACACCCTTCTCATGTGTGAAGTTCAGGGTCTTGCAGTCCACCACAAGTTTTAACTAGCTGATGTCTGCTTAGTTTGCCATTCATTGTATTAAGGTCGTATGCTTGTGTGTCCCCTCTTTTTTTGCGTGTCTAAAATGTCTGTCCACAAGAAGTTAGAAGCTCAATGTAAAGTAAATGCTTCCTCTGGACTTCTCTCTCCTTACTCCTAACCCTTTTTGCTACTACTCCTGGCTCCTTCTTACTGCTGTCTTTCAGCCACACCCCTGATGTAAGGGAAGGTAAGATCAAACATCTAGCCTTATCGAATAAAGGTGAAAAATCTGGAAGGTCCAGTGCACAAGTTGCTCACATTAAAGATCCCTTGTTGTCCTAAAATTGCTAAGAGCTTAAATTCAAAATTTATTCCTATCAAAACTGAAAATTTTCAAAGAACATACATATTATGAAAGAGTACCTTTGAAATCAGAATGTGGCTGCCTGAAGGCAAGGGGCCGTACTAAGTTGGAAAAAGTCACATACGTAAAAATCAGTTGTGCTATAGGTTGAAGAATCAGCAGTTAGCTACCCCTGAGATCTAGCTGAGGTTTTCGAGATGAGCTGTTTGACTAATCTGTACGGCTGTTCAGGAATACAAAAAAATTATAAAAGTTCATTTAGGGAATGGCGTATTGTTTGTGCCATCCATGAATTCAAATTTGTGTTTTCAAGTTACCTGTGCTAGACTAGGCTATTCTGTAGTTTATTGTTGAAGATCATTTTCATATGTTCTCTAGTAGCATGATATATTTCACAGTGAGTTTCCAAGAGTTTTAAAGAAAATGAAAGGAGATAGGGGTTGGAGCTAAATTTTTACAGGACACGACTTAAAAGGTTTTATTTACATGATTATAATTCTTACTTACCTTAATTGGTTTTGTTTGTGTTGTTGATACATGTTGTGCTTTTAGTGATGTTCTTCTTTTATTTTATTTTCGTGGGTGGTTGGCGGGTGCTCTGGTGTGGTTTGCTTCTTCTTTCCTATCAAACATCTATCGTCTTTATCTCCCCTCCTTCTTTTTGGTGTTTGTTACTCTCTTGTAACACCTCTAATCTTCTTGCGCTCATATGACCTTATGCAGTTGCGAGCGCCGTAAAACCTCTACTACTATTTTATTTTCATTGTACTCCGATTATAATCTGCTTTCTAGTGGGAATTTCAATAATCTGTTTTCTTAATGGAAGATGGCCCTTGGCGTGGCAATTTCAATAATCTAAATGTCTTGTGAGATATGGCCCTCGCATGGCAATTTCAATTTGCAATAAACATCTTCTTACCCCATAATTTATATGGTGTATTTTCAGAACATCACAATTGACAAGAGGAAGGAAACTGTCAACCCGAGACTGAAGAAGGTCTGGATTTGGGAGACTTTCTTCCTTTCACTTTTTGCTGCTTCCCTGACCTTTCCTGATTTTTATTTGGATTCTGCACAATAAAGGGAAAGCTACCTTTAGCTCGGCATCACCATGAAGGAAGATGAGGAAGTTAAGCTGCGTATGTTGTCGAGGAGCCTTGATGACAAAGGTGAGTCACCCCTGTCTCTGTAACTACTCGCTAGATAAGGCCATAAGTTACAATATAGTGGTATGGATTACTCTGTAATTTTTGGCCTTTCATTTCCTAAGGGTGTAAGCCATGAAATTTGATTCCTGAGGTAGTTACAACCCTGCACTTTGTAGATGAAAATGTTTAGTGGGTCCGCACGCTCATATCACCTTGTACAGTTGCGAGCGCGGTAAAACACTTACCAAAAAAAAAAAAAAGAAGAAAATTGGTGGTGACTATAGAATCCCACCAAACAGCTCTGATAAAATAGTAATCTGTCTTGTAAAAATATGCTTTTTTAGACTGATGATTGAATGATCTCTTCTTGCATTTCAGTAGTAGCAATTTATTCTGGCAGCCAAAGTGGAAGTTTCTAGTACGAGTGATCTCAACTGGACTTTAAGAAGTTGACTTGAATTTTTTATAGGCTGTGGAAAGATCGATATGGAGGAAATATGATCTGAAAACGTATCTTTAACTCATGCTGATGTTTTTTTTAAAAAAAAGATATCTGGAATTGATTGTCCATAGTCTTAAAATGAGCGGGTCTTTTCATGACCTTTTCTATCAGCCACATCTGTTCTTTAAGTTTGACATATATCAATGAAAACAAGCACATGACACGTACAAACACACATTCATTCCTTCAGTCTGTCTTTTGGACTCATGAAAGGCTCCCCAAAAAGTAATTGATATTTTCCTGGGACTGAAATTTTGTGAATCTTTAAGGAGCGACAATTAAAATGATTGCAATTATAGCAGTGATAATGAATTCAGGAAAATTGATCTGGAATTTTCAATGGGGAGAGCAATTGTGAGCTTCACTTAGAAATATAATTTTTGCTGTTGCCTCCCCTTTAATGATGTTCTCTATGTTTGAACTGCTGTAACTTAAAAAAACGCCAAACTCATACATTGTGGTTCTTTGATTTATAAGACAATTTAACACCCTTTTTTGGGGTGGGGGGTT